CGCTGTACAGATGCGGTTAAATATACTATATAAATTTCGATCCGTATTTCATTTGTTCGCAACCCTGACCCCATTGCCATAGAGACGTTATGAGGTTCAGGTGTGATTATACTAAACCGTATGAAACTTGATGACAATGATGCGTGATTGTGCGCCTGCTGACTGCAATTCGATTCGACCCATCTGTTAGCCAACTAATAATCGTGAATCATGAAAAGATAATCTCCATCTCGTAGTCATCGTTATCATTTTTGTCTTTATGCTCATAATGTCCTCACGGCTTACCAGCCTGTTTATTGGCCCTCAACACTGTCATATCATGTGCGCAAAATCGATATGTGACTTTGCACAACGGTAATGAAAGTATTTAAAAATCTGTCGTTGACTCAGAGCACCGTACATTGAGAGAATATTTGAAATCGAAACCGCATACCGTTTGCACTCGATCACGTGACGAATATTTAGTATCTCGTGACGACTATTCATGAACCATGTGTCAGTTTCTCAACAGTCCAAATGGACTCTAACGAGCCGAAGCAATAATCATAAATAGGCGTGAATAAAGTTCGAAGAGAGTTCCACTGGCGTGGAAACGAATGGACACTTAACTTTACAACATATGATAACAACATTAAATGAACATCATAGACTTATAACTGTTCATATGAACAATACACAAGTTCGTTACCTCACCGGCTATGCAGGACGTTTCGACGACGTAAAAGTCCAAATTATAGTAAACTCCGTTTACCACTTGCGTTGTGAAGTTCTTGACTTTAGCGAGGGCGTGGAAATTATCATCGGAATGGTCCGAGTTCAGTTTCCTCGTTGCCAAGCAGGCTTTCGCCGTGGCGCTCTCTCCATCCGGATCCTGAAGCAACGGGGCACCTGGCATGTTTTCCTGATTGCTAGGCGTCACGGTTACGGCCAAAAACAAAACCACAGTCATCGACAACTTCATGATGCTGTAATAAAGTTCAAATATTCACTCGTAACTGTAACCGAAGCTGTGGCAAAGTTTCGCAAAACTTCATTTATAGCGAAGTCGGCAGCTAAAGCAGCTGTCGGTCACCAGATAGCAAGAACGACGTCGAGTTTACTGAAGAAAATGCACGATCACGCGCGCTGAGTCAACGACCTCAAAGCCGAGGTCAAGAAAAATATAAAGCGGCATCCGAACGATTGGCGGCAGGATCAAAATGCGTTTTGAACATCGTGTGAGTGATCAAGTTAGGCCAACAGTTTCAGTGGCCAGCCAAGACGGGATTCTCTCTGAACATGAGTCACTACATCGTCATATTCAGAGTGTCAACAATGTGCTTGACATTTTGGAAAATACTCGATCCTTACTTAAGGCTTATGTTACACATGCAACGATTATCAATACACAACAGTATGAAAAGACTTTCAGTGTACGAGAATTTAGACACTTCTATATTGCAAGTAGATGGATGCAAATCGGCAGTATCATTCGATCCACCTACTTAAGATTTAAATTGTTTACTGGATAATCATACTGAAATAAAAATAATAACAACAACGTTTTTTGGCCAACACCTTTAAGAAGTATGATGCTGTTGTCGTGTTGTAGTCGTTTCTTCAATATACGAGTCTAAAAGTGAACCGAAGGTGAACGAATTTGAACTGCAGGGTTGTCCATGTCAAGAATGTTATTGCAAATCAGATTGGCCAAATGTACTCCACCATCGTATAGATCTTTACCGCAAAAGTATTGAGGTTATGCGTTATTTATTATTGAAGAAGAGCAAGGAGTCACATAACAAGTTCTCTCGACCTCAGGTTATATACAGATGGTCGATTCTACTCATTGACAATCCAGAGTTTTGGAGAAGAAGAGGTGTCGTTGACATAATGAGACGCAGGCAGATGACATTATTGTAATGCTGGATTTAGGATCGTCTATGTATTGACTAGCAGAAAGATGTCGACCGGCAAACAGCACTGGACCGCGGTGCTTTGAGGTGGTCATCCGAAGACCTGTGGGAGTTATCGCCGTGAAGAGCGATGTGCATGCGTCACGACCAAACATTGACTCAATCCAGCCGCCGTTATCTGACTAAAATCTGATCATTCTTAATTTATTCCTAAAAAAGATTTAAAGATAGACGTAGAGGACAGAAATATGGAAGATTTGGAAAACTCCAGGCCGATCATTCTGTTAGCAATTACCTCCAAGATCTTCAAGAAAGTGCCGATGAACAGATTTCCAAAAAAACTGGACGCTGCACTGCCAGAGGAGCAGGCATAGTTAAGAAATGGGTATAGTGTGATGATGGATCACGTTCAGTTACTGTAGCAAACAATTCAGAAAAGCAACGAACATCAGCTTCCTCTCTTCCTGGGTTTCGCTGATTTCCACAAGGCTTTCGACTTGAGTGTATATGCGTTCCGTATTGAATTTCTTGAGGAAAGTAGACAAATCTAGTCGCCATGAGTTACAAAAATGCAGTTTCTAATCTAACGACTCATGACAGCACAAGCAAGTTCGAAACCGAGAAGGATGTTCGACAGGGAGACGCAATATCACCTACGTTAAGCAGACCTAAAAGAAATGTTCAAGACACGCCTGACAAAATTCTGATCCTCTCAAGGTCATCAGAAGAACTGCAACGAAGAATGTAAGGGCTGAACTATGGCAACATTAACGGAGACCAAAAATGAACCAAAATATGACTCAGATCATTTTCAACAAACACGTGACTGCACGACTTGTTGAAGTCAGCGAACTTAAGCCTGAACACGAGCAAAACTCCCTCTATCTGGGACCGCTCATCGACGAAATAACGGAGAATCGACTGTGTGAAATTAACAGAGGAACAAAATGGCAGGTAACTCTTCTGGAAGATTGAAATGTTCTTGTCCGAGAAACTGTGCTTGTGCTCGAAACAGAAAGGATTTCGTCAGGGTGTGCTCCCAGTGCTAAAAGCTACCGGTACGAGATGTGCATCGTACGTGTGAAAACTACTTACGAACCGAAGACCACGCAACACAGCTTGGAAAGATGTATGTTGGGAAGAACAATAAAAAAAACAGAAAGACGAATGAACGGATAAGAACATAAACAACAGTCTGCAACGCCACTGCCTAAGTGAAAAAATTCGAGGAGCAATGAGCAAGGCGCGTGGAAAGAAGGACCGCCCATCAAAAAACATTAGAATGGATTCCAAAGGAGAGCAAAACAACCTGTAGTACGAGTTCCAAATTGAGGTCGGGAAGCGTTGAAGGTGCTCGCTGGACAAAGAAGTACAAAAATTATAGAAGAATATAGTTTACGGAAAAGCTACTGGAACACCTTCATCCAGCGATGGATCGACAAACGCTGATGATGATGCAAGCCTTTAGACTGATCGGCAAGAGACCTTCATTTTAAATTAAATTTTTAAAATTGTTTTAAATTACGCAAAAAATTTATCTGATTTAATGATATGATTCCATCGGTTTATCTTTAAGGATTCCTCGCGTCCAAAGTTTCATCACTTCCTCTTAAGTAATTGCGTACACCCCGAGTTCGTTATCTTCCTTGAAAGTGACAACTAGGTTTAAAACTTGGGCAATATCTAAACTCAGAAATTGTGCCGAAAGGAACTTTCATATGGTGTCGGGTGCAGTCTCTCAAGCAAAACTCCTTCTGCGTATCGGTCGTGCCGATGAATCATCAGGATGATGAAAATAATTAGTCACGTGTTCTTCAGAGATTACTAGCAATTGTCACTTCGAATCTTCAATCAAGATCCTTATTTAGAAAAATGAGACATAAAGGCACATGGGGTTCTACCAACCCGTGTGCTCATTTTCTCGTTACCTGGCAAGTTTAAGAGTCAGGACAGATCATCACTGTCATCACTGGACATATGTCAGGACATATCATCACAGGACTACCACTGTTGTCTCACTGATATTTGGAATGCAAACTCACCACTTCCAAGTTGCAACATACCATGCACTATTCAACTACCATGAAGAAGCGTTATCGATTAATTACCTGTGGACAGCGTAGTATGACATTCTGATGGCGTAAGTCACTCAAGTGTACTCGATCATTGCCAGTGACTGTTTAAGACGGTCCGCTACCTGATTGTTTTCAGCACCTGTCGTCTGTGGCCAGCAAACGTTTCTGACATTTGAAAAGTCAGTTCAGCCTACTAGCAGCTGTCGAACGCCCGCCCCATTCTCAGCATCCACCTAACATAGTAACCGTTGCTCTCGCTACTCGACGGGAGCAGATGTGTCGAAAGAATTCACCGCATAACGACTGCAGCCTTAGCGGAGGCAGAGTAGCGTTTGCGATTCTGTTAAGTTTTTTATGAACCTAAGCCTAGAGACAGTCGATTATGTGCAGTAGGAAGATATGTACAGCGTGGTTGTTTGAAATGATGTGATGATGAACAACATGATTCATGGTTCATTTTTGTTCAGACAGTTTACCAACGTTTTGACCGTATGTCACGGTCTAATTGAAAAATTGGCACTGTTCGCTTGTTGGACATAAATGCCTTCAAGCAATCATTTGTACTCAAACCAGCCATGATGGTGCTACGGTGTGTGCAGTGAAACGCGTTGTCATTACCTGTTTACCATCTGCTGCGTTTGGTGCCCCGAGCCATGAATCATTCATACATCCATGTATATAACTCGGGGAACAGAATCAGAAACCTGAAAAATTTTTTTAAGTCATGCCCAAAGTCGACCGAAGGTTACAAACGTTTCTATCCCCACGAAGTTGCAATTTTTCTAACTGCAAATTCTGTACAGCTAGTGTGCAAGTGAAACAGGTAGGTGAGGTGCTTCAGGAGGTTGAATAATTCAAGCATCACCCTCAGGGTAGGAACACTTGAATCAGACTTAAATGGGAAGATCGTCCTAGCATCTGATGCTTTTGAAAACCTGTCCTATTTTTGGATTGAACGAAGTGTCTCTTGCCACAAAAATCTGCTTGTAGAACTTGCCCCTGTCAGGTCTGTGTTGTTGTAAGACATGGAAGCAGCAATTCCATCGAAGGAGCAGTAGCGACAGTTGAACACAGCACCTTGCGTTCGACATATAATGAGGGTCAAGAGACATGACCATGTAAGGGATGATCATCTTTTCCGAGAGTAGACGCCTCATTAAATGTAGAGGGTATGAAAAGTCGGTTTGCCATATTCGATAACCATTTACTCCAGCCAATGAGATTTTCGTGTGGGAGAGGAATCACAGCGACGTCAGCCAGGAGGCCAACGTATACTTGGTGCAGCAAGGAAGAGTCAGATCTGCTTTAGGAGAGGAACTGTTCCTTCTACATATACAGTGACCGGTATCTTATAGCAAACCTGCTGTAATGTTACAACACGAACCAGAGATATTCTGCTTATGAACACGACACAAGGTAACAGTCTCAACAAACCTACACAATAAACAATTTTTCTACAATAGTTGTTTTCCACATTTTCACACAACATTTAGCATTTCAAACTCAAAGATGGCATTCTGATCTCGTGACTGGTGGAATACATATTTGTGAGAGTCACTGATTCGACTTAGCTTGGAAAATCATGGAACATTCGATTTCCATAAATTCAACCACACAATTGGTAAACATGGACAAAGATAGTTTGTATTACAAAATTTCTGACGGCGTTGTTAACTTTTGCCAAGCACTGGAAAAGTAATGAAGTTGTAATGAAATCAAAAATCAAACATGCCTGATGAAACCATGATGCCACAGTTCCATCAAAACTATCATCCAGGTAAAGAGATTATTTCAGTTCATTATGAACGTGGGAAGGTCTTTATAGGCCAAACTTTCAAGCGGTTTACCTTGCATATGAGATTTATTTAACAAATTCCAGACGTTAAGGATCGAGTTAGATTTATCTTTAGAAGACATCGTGTAACAAGTGCAAAAAAGTTAAAAGCTCAACGTGGTATATGGAATACTTGCAGAGCAAGGCATTGACGCAATATGCGTCAACTTGCTGAAGGAATCGAACTTTGGATGCACGTCGAGCATGGCGGTGTTCGATGCACACCGTCGGATCCCAGGCGATGAAGAATTGAAGCAAGGAGATAATTTTTTGAAGTTTTCTATGGCCTGTGTGGCAATGGGGTTTCGGTGAATAGATTAGGAAGGAGGTTCAAAGATCAATGAAAAGACTCTGGGCCATATCATATCACCAACTGGAAAAAATGCTGTCAGGACACGACTGTTGAATTGCACTTACAACTGCAACGTCTACCAAACACAAGTGCATACAATCTGCCACATAACAGAAGGCCCAAATAACAGTTAATGGAGAGGGTATAGGTGAAGCGGAAAAGTACATCTATTTGGGTCAGGAATTGCCATGCGGTGCGATCAGAAGGCCGAAATCTTGTCATAATGAACACAGTCTAGCGGTGGCTCCATCATGGACACCCTACACAGAAAGACCAATAGATGGACACTGGCCACTTCTTCAATATATTTGAACTGCCAGGAATGCTGTACGGCTGTGGATGCAAGATTGCAGACGAAAGAGACGCTCCATCATCTTCCTGGTATCGAAGAAGCCATAGAACGAAGGATGTTGAAAAGTGGTTGATACGCAACCATGCTTAGAATGCAGACATCAGAGAGCAAACCAGCATGTTTGAAAACACGGATGAGGAACATGAGGAAAACATGTGATGAACCAGACACGTAGTAACCACCAATGAATAGATACTATGGTCTAGTGGCAGCTTCTAGATCGCCCTCCGGCGAGATGGTGCGATTTATTCTCTGGCTTAGAAGAATCAGTGTGCAAAGAAGAAACGAAAAAGAGAAGAATGTTGGCGGTGTTATGACCGGCTCAGTGGGCGTAATGGCGGAATATTGGCTGATTATAAAATTACTAATTTATTATATCAAAATTGGCTAGAATAATCGAACCCCTAAGCGACTAGATGCAAGAGAACAGTGTGACATTGCGGTACAACCCGGCGTAGGACTTCCTTCTTCCTTACGCCATCTCCAAGTCGGCGCAAAGTAGGAAATGGATTCAATCTTTACACGGTACATGTTCCCGTTTCAATTCTGTATCATTATTCGTTTGCAATGTCATATTAACCGGCGGCATCAAGAGCTTCCACTTGTAGACACGGCCCCAGAACAACAGCGTTTTATTTTACGATATCATTCATGTGCTCGGCTACGGATACTGGCAGTCTTGCTTGGACCTGAATACCTTCATTGTTCAGTCCAACTCAGACACGCGGTCTTCGACCCTAGCAATGCAGGCGCTTTAATACTATGGAGCCATGACGTGTCTTAATGGTACCCATTGGCGATTAGAAGCAAGGGGGCGACGCAGTACTGCAATACAACCAGGTGAAAGACTTTTACTTTCTTAACAGTACCAAATTATCGGTGTAGAGTAAAAAACAGGTTCTTTCTTTGTACAGCACATTTTTGTCGTTTCAGTCCGGTATCAGTATTTACTTGTTATGTTTACTAGACTGTAACCCAGTTTCTGTAAAAATATTAATATTTCCAGTATTGAACGTATATTTATTAACACTTGGGTATAATCGACACTTTAAATGAGTCATATGCATATAACTTACTGCACCTGACAACTTGACAAACATCAACAATGTTTTGCGTCCAAATGCGGAAGAAATTCCAGCTGACTAAGCGTACTTGTAGTAAGTAAACTTTCAGTTGTCTGAAAGATTAATGACTTGCTTGCAAAGAACTTAAACAGTTTAAAGAACTTCCAAATTCATAGTTAGCCGTTCAGATTGGGAAGCTATATTATGGACAGATAATACAAATAAATTAAATTTATGTTCACACCCGTGCAATCAGTTTCAATCAGCAGTTAGCTGGGTCAAGACCGATTGCAACCGTAAGTCGCATGCATTGTACACAAGGGCCGTACGTCTCGCAAATCTTGCGGTGACCATACCAATGCACCTTTCTATTCATATTATTCACTGGCCAACAACCTGCTACTCATAGGCATGAGTTCCTATCTGAAAAAATTAGCAGCAAATAAGAGAAAATTTATGCCTCGTTGTATATTTGAACCCGGAACGAGCAAAATGACCTACTAACCCATTGCGTCACTGTTACCTCCTCAAGGCAAAAATTGTTTGCAAATTTAGAATGTTAAGATATGAATGAGCCATAAACTCAGTGAGTAGTCAGACACAACCCCCATGTCTGTGGTTCGGCTATGTTCATCAAATGCCGATGCTAAACGTACTAAAACCACGAAAAAGACTTCAATGAGTTTTAACAGCTCACACTGCTGGTAGCGGCAATTCACAGTTCAGCTCGAAATGACACAATTAAACTACAGTGCTCCCTCGTCTGTCGCGGGGGTTAGGTTCCAGAAACACCCGCAATACGTAAAAATCCGCCAAGTAGCCTTGTATTTATTTTATTATTTTTATATAGTTTAAAGATTCTATCAAATATTACACAGCTTACATGAATCTGTGATTAAGAAGAAGGACAATAAAAAAAGAAGAGCGAACGATGGTCACCCGCCTTTTCTTTACTCTTGGATGTCATAATGACACGAGTATAAAGGACTAGAAAAACAATAAAGGTATTGTTTGGTGTAGGCAAAAATGTTCTTAGGTAGATGAAAAAAATAAGAATAACCATACTAAACTTTCCTCATAAAAGTTTAATGAGTGTTGCTGTCTGAATCAGCTTATAATAGCGTTTTCCTACTGAATATATATGCCTAAAAGACAATGAAAAGAAAAAGGAAAATAAAGTAAAGTAGTTTAAAACGTTATAAACCGTACCCACGCTCTTATTAACCTTTCCCATATTTTTATAAACACTTTCTACACTCTTAAACCTACGCAACTTTAACAACATGCAAAACTCTACATGAGTATTCATCATTGAAGATATTACAAGTTGAATAATGAAGAAGATGATGAGTAGATGTGCAGTACGCATGACGATACAAGAAATGACGCTGAGACGAATGTACTGCATGGTCAAGAATAACATTACAGCTGTTCTGAAGGCGCAACTTCATCAGGAGGTGCAGTCTTTTCGCTCTCGTCCCTTGCTTCTGTTTTCTCTAAAGATGCAGGCGTAACTGGTGTTTTCTTCCGAGTGAGGAGCATAGTCATGGGGAGTTGCTGCTGGCGCTGTTTTTTTCTAACGAGAAGGTTTTTATAAACCGACATGCCACCCTCGAATATATTTGAAAACTGCAACGAGTGAAGAATCTGGGAGTCCCATCCTTGAGCCACTCGCTGAGGTTCTCTGGCCATTCTAATCATGGTTGTAAGGCGATCGAGTGTTAGGCCAACCTCATCTTCTTCTTCAATCCCTTGTTCCTCTTCCTCGCTTGCTGACTTTGTCATCCCCATCAGATCTTCGTCCGTCAACGGCTGTGAATGGGCATTTATCAGGTCATTAATGTCTTCAGGATTTATATCGTCGAAGCCGTCTCCTCCGGGTAGTTTTGCTAGCTTCACGGCCTCATTGACCGCCGAGTGATGGACTTCACCAGGAGAGAAACCCTTATAATCATGGACAACTTCTGGCCACAAAATTTTACATTTCGCATTTAAAGTTTCACTCATAATCCCTATGGCCTTCTGAATGTTTAGGAGACGCGAGGCAATGATGTAGTCACGCCAATAAGCCATTGGCGAGAAATCTTCGCCTGAATTCATAGCTTCTACGAAGGTCTTCAGGGCATTCCGTGTATATAGAGCCTTTAAAGCTCGAAAAACGCTTAGATCCATAGGTTAAATCAGCGATGTGGTGTTCGGAGGCAAGAACTCCATTTGCACGCCATCACGCGACAGTTCTACAACGTGGCCTTCGGCATTGTCCATGATTAGAAGCACTTTAAAAATTCGAGGCTTTTCTGTCAGATAATGCTTGACCTCCGGGATGAAGCACTGGTGGAACCAATCTGAAGTGCGGTATTTCGTGTTCCAGGCCTTGGTGTTGTGCATCCAATGCACAGGCTACACGTTCTTATTCTTGTTTTTTAGGGCCATTGGGATTTTGGACTTATGAATAAGCCTCGGCTTTATCACAACGCCGCAGCATTCCCATACATTATCAAGGTCACACGATTTTTTGGGTCTTAAACTCGGGGGCTTTTGCACCGTCCTTCATAATAAAACTGAGACGGCATTCGCTTCCAGGATAATCCCATCTTATCCATATTAAAAACCTGTTCAGGCTTATAGTCTCCTTCCTCGATGATAGTTTTTAATGTACTGTTCACGTACTCCTCGGCTCCTGTTTTACCCGCAGAGGCTGCTTCTACATGCAAAGAAACGCTCTTAAGTCCAAAGTATTTCTGAAACTTATCAAACCAGACCTTACTGGCACTGAAAAGAATTCGCCTGATAGGAGAAGTACTCGATGGCCTTGCTGTCATGTTATCGTTCTTGCTACTGCTTTCAGCAAAAGCTTTTTGGCCTTCATGCGGTTCATTCGATAGTGTTGGTGTCTAGCGAGATATTCTTCTTCCTGCAGTCACTGATCTACAGCGCCAATGCTCACTCCACCCTCACAAAGTCCTTATTGCGGGAAGTTATCACCCTCTTCGCTGTCTTGTTAAAAGGCACTGCAGCCGTCTTCCTTCTATTCTTTTCGTCCTTTATGTAGCGAACTGAAAATTCATTGATCCCGTAAAGGCGGCCTACAGCCGCATAGCTTTTCCCTTCCTTTAGCATGTAGTAGAGATCCGCCTTTTCTGCTATGGTAGGCATTTTCCTTTGGCGCTTGGGTTCGCTGTCGGAAGCCTTAGAATGCGTGGACACCATAAGGACTGAAATAAATTCAATTTTTTACGAATGTTTCACGAAAACAACATCGCAGAGCAAAACGATGCGCAGTGACGAGACGCAGATGTGAAAGGGATAAAACGAGATGCTGATCGTGCGTTATACGCCGGTGGCTGATAACACGGTCGCTGAACCAATAACGCCCAGGATACAGAACATA